TTTATTTCTTCAATTGTCTTTTGGTCCATTTGATCAACTCAGTATGACTGAGAGAAGATGATCTATGTGATGTGAAGGATTTATCTCAATAGCAAACACTCACTGGTCTCATTAGAAACTTCATTTTGTGGGCAGGGGCTGCAATCAAAACAGCAGGCTGCCATTCCCTCCTGCCAGAATTTTCTGAATCCAGGACCACAATCAGCACTGCACACAGAGGGTGGCATCTGTGAAAAATCAGATACATGCTGGTGTTGGGAGTTTTACGTACTTCTATAACTATATTTCATTATCATGTTGATATACCAATTAGCTAGTTTTATATACACCAAAAGATTAAGCTTAATGCAACATTTTATAATACCAGGCATACAAATGTATGGAAACAAACTAATGTAAATTTGAGTAGCTTCCCATAACTAGAAATTTAGGTGGAAGAATGTTTTTTTTATATGAAATACACTATAGAGATTACAAAGTGGTTTTTCTACTTAATTTTCATCACAGTGACACAGAGTACATTAATAAGTTAGAGGGAACATTAACTAAAATGTTTTTCTTGATTGAATTAGCATGCTATCAAATTATTTAAGCATTTTATTAATGAGTAGTTGATATAGGACTGCCCTGCCCACTGTGGGCAATGATGTCCCTAGTCAGGGCTGTGTGAGAATTCAGAGAAAACCAGTAAGCAATGTTCCTTCAGATTCTGTGATTTAGATGCAGTCTCCGTATGCCTGCCTGCCTTGTCATTTCTTTGTTGTAATTCATGATCCCAATCAAATCTTCTCCTCTTTAATATTTTGGTCAATATTTAATCACAGCAATGTCACAGAAACCAAAGATGAACAGATATCTGAAATAGGGGTAATGTCTTATAAAATGTCAGATAACACACATGAACTCTAGAAACTGCACTGCAAGGCCTGACATATTATAAAGAAAATTACAGCTAAATAGGCAGAGTGAGGAAGGGCAGAACTGATAACAATTGAGCTGGAAAGAATGGAGTTTTCTGAGGTACAAATGCTTTACAAATCCTCCGCATATTTGAAGAACCTGAGTAAAAGTTTGATTTGAATTATTTGTTCTCTTGATGACTAGTTTCTTGAGTTGTTTTTTATATTTTGGAGACCAGATCTCTGTCTGATGTGGGGTTAGTAAAGTTTTTTTTTTCCATTCTGTAGGCTGTTTTATCTTATTGACAGTGTCCTTTGCTTTACAGAAGTTATACAGTTTCAGGAGGTCCCATTTATTAATTGTTTCTCTCAGTGTCTTTGCTGCTGGGGTTATATTTAGGACGTGGTTTCCAGTGTCAATGCGTTCAAATGTACTTTCCACTTTCTGTTCTATAAAGTTCGGTGTGGCTGGCTTTATGATGAGAGTCCATCTTACAACTGTAAGAATGGCAAAGATCCTCTGGGAACCACTCTAGAGTCAAGGCTCTTACCTACCCTAAAATGGCTCCCTTAATTAAGATATATACTTCCCTGCTCCAATACCCAACCTTCCATTATCGCAACCATCCCATTCCTCCAAGTTCTCCCTATCCTCCCCTTCTCACTTTCTCTCCTCATTTCCCCTTTCCCCCATCCCACCCCACCCCCAGTTTCCAAATTTTTGCCCAGCAATCTTGACTACTTCCAATATCCAGTGGGATAACAATATGTTTTTCTTTGGGTTCACCTTCTTATTTGGTCTCTCTAGGATCGCGAGTTATAGGCTCACTGTCCTATATTTATGGCTAAAAACCAATTGTGAGTGATTACATCCCATGTTCATCTTTTTGGGTCTGGGTTATCTCACTCAGAATAATGTTTTCTATTTCCATCCATTTTCATGAAAATTCAAGAATTTATTCTTTTTTTACCGCTGAGTAGTACTCTAATGTGTATATATTCCACACTTTCTTCATCCATTCTTCCGTGGAAGGGCATCTAGGTTGTTTCCAGGTTCTGGCTATTACAAATAATGCTGCTATGAACATAGTTGAACAAATACTTTTGTAGTATGATAGGGCATCTCTTGTGTATATTCCCAAGTGTGGTATTGCTGTGTCCTGAAGTTGGTTGATCCCAAATTTCCTGAGAAACCGCCACACTGCTTTCCATAGTGGTTGCACAAGTTTGCATTCCCACCAGCAATGGATGAGTGTACCCCTTACTAAACATCCTCTCCAGTAAAGCCTATTGTTGGTGTTTTTGATTTTAGCCATTCTGACAGGTGTAAGATGGTATCTCTTGGGCAGCTGAGGAGAGAGATCCTGAAATGGGCCAACCTATAGCCATACTAACGAATATCCTGCATATCACCATAGAACCTTTATCTGGCGATGGATGGAGATAGAGATAGAGACCCTCATTGGAACATTGGACGAGCTCCCAAGTTTCAAATGAGGAACAAAAGGAGGGAGAACATGAGCAAGAAAGTCAATGCCGCAATGGGGGTACCCAACTGCTGAGACGGCGGGGCTGATCTATTAGGAGATCACCAATCCAGCTGTACTGGGACTAAAAATGCATGGGATAAAACCAGACTCACTGAATATTGTAGACAATGAGGGCTGCTGAGAAGCCACAGACAATGGCACCGAGTTTTGACCCTACTGCATGCAATGGGTTTGTGGGAGCCTAGCCGGTTTGGATGCTCACATTCCTACACCTGGATGGAGGTGGGAGGAACTTGGACTGCCCACAGGGCAGGGAACCCTGACTGCTCTTTGGATAGGAGAGGGAGGGGAGAGAGGAGTGGGATGTGGGGAATGAGGGGAGGGGGTGAGAAAAGGCAGGTGGTGAGGAGGTAGAAAATTTTAATTAAAAAAATTAATAAAAAAAAGAATGGCAAAGATCAAAACACTGATGACTACTTATGCTGGAAAGTCATGGAGTAAAAGGGTCACTTTTGAGTTGCTGGTGGGTACGCCAGATGGTACAACCCATTTGGACACCAGTATGATGATTTCTCTGAAAAGTAGAAAATAAAACCTTCCCTAAAACCCAGTAATACCACTTTGGGGTATTTATCCAAAGATGCTCAATTGTGCCACAAAGATATATCATCAACTATGTCCATAGCAGCATTGTTTGTCATACCAGAACCTGGAAACAGCCTAAATGCCCCTTACCAAAGAATGGTTTAACAAAACAGTGGTACATTACACACTGGAGTACTACACAGCAGAAAAAGATAACGACATCTTAAAATTTTCAGGAAAATGGATAGAGCTGAAAACATCATTTTGAGTGAGGTAACCCAGACACAGAAAGACAGTTATCATATGTTCTGCCTCAGAAGTGGTTTTTAAAGAACAAGCTAAGAAAACCAGCTTACAAACCACAATCCCAGAGAACTTAGACAACAATGAGGACGGTAGGAGAGACATACCTAGATTTAATCTATGCAGGAAATAGAAAGAA